TTTTCTGTATTCACAAGAATTTTGATAAGTGTTTGAATTTTGATTTTTTTTTTAGCATTGCCCTTTTGTGGCTGGTCTTAAATCAGTAAGTCAACCCTAATACCACTGGGAGGTTAAAGGAATCCTTTTACTCAGGATAGGCGCTTGTGTTTTGTTCTTAGAGCATGAGGTCATTTCCCCAGGATTCATGCTGATGATTGTAGTGTGTGTGTATGTATCACCTTCTTCTGTTACTTTGAATCTGGATGATCAAAAACCTAGGAAGAACAATGTTTTTGGGTGAACGGATACAGGCTGGGACTCCTAATCATGCAAAATTCTGCATACCAACATGCAGTGAGTGATTAAAAGAGTTTGTTTGACTGTGTTTTGCTGAGTTTGTTCAAGTTCCATTTGGGATAAAATGGTTAAGAAAAACTGCTTAGGGTTTTAAATTTTCATGTGGAGTATTTTATTGTTTCTTTCTGGGTGCAGAGAGACTTCCCATTTTTTCCCAGCAACTTCTGTTTAGCCAATACAACATCCTCTCTACTGTAGCCTTGGTCAATAAACCTCTTCGCTGTTGCTAATAGTTTCAGTACATGATCTGTACTATCCCTACTACTTCTCATTATTCTAATGAATTGGATAAATGGGAAGCTTTTTCTTAAATGGCCACGGATGAAAGCTATCAATATGCAACAGGCTGCTCTTACCCATATTTTCTGAAGTAATCATCATCTTGTCATGTTTGTGACACCATACATCTAAATAATTTGCTTGTGTTACTACTTGAAAAATGTGCAGAAAAACTGAACTTGTGCAAATTAATATCACGGTTTTTGGCTGTAGTAATATTTTCTGTATCGTAAATTCCTCATGAACATCAATAAAACACTAACTAAAGCAATTGAAATTGGTGGATAGCTCTATGATAACTGACCATGGCAGGTTTTTAAAACCTTTTCACTGGCTTGTATTGGGTCTGTGCATATCTGACATTTCTAAAAAAGTAAACATTTCTAGGTAATCAATTCCTTATTTATAGAAAGGATAGGTTAATATCAAACACTACATAATACATCATACATTTATTCAGTTGATTTGTTATGACCTATTTTACTCTGCAGGATCAATACATATATTTTTTTTAAATGCCACATGCTATTGTCTGCTTGCTATAATATGAAAGAGACTGAAATCTTATATCAACAAGGTATGTTTAATTTGGTGTCAGCTGTTCCATAGGTTGCCCCAAGACTGACTTCATTGGACTGACTGCCTTTCTAGAGGAAAGAAGTGTTGCCTGCTCTTGCTTTTACATTTATCACATTACAATCTTAGGACAAAATTCTTGTTTTGGAAACCTGCACATAGCATGTACTGCAATCAACATGAGAAGTGCACGTGCATCCAAGGACAGAACCTGACCCTCAGTGAGGAAAAAGGGCTTAAATTACCAGGCAAAGGATCCTGGTCTGCGTAGAGAGCTGGCAGTTCCACACATTTGTCTTCATTACATTTGAACGAGCAGTTGAAAGCTAACCACATCTCCTGGTTCGTGCCTGTGTGCTTCATATGCAGTAAGTCTAAGTGCCAAGGCTGATTTAACTTGCTGTGTGGGCCAGTTATCTGAATCTTGTATATTGAGCCAATGTCTGCCAGTTCATCCTATGTGAGAAAAAGAGAAGTCAAATGCAGTCTCACTATTGCAGTGCCAGATCTAATATGCTTGTCAGTTACAAATAATAATTTAACAAGTCTCAGAGATTAAAAGATTGTGGCAGTTTTAGAATTGTTACTTTTTTTTTTCACAATACAAAATTGATTTGCTAACTGCATGAGCTGAATGGCTCTCTAGTGGTTTGAATGTCAGAGAATTGGTGACTTTTCTCATAAGAGTCACTGGGGAAAATTGCATACCGAACAAAATTAGACACTATAATTCACAATGATGCAGTGGACTGTTTGCAAACGTTATTGATTAGAAAGTGACCAAATGGCTCATCTCAACTTGCTAACAATACAACGAAAAGCTCAAGTGTTCAGTTACCAGACCATGAATCCCATGGGGAAAAAAATGTGTTTCCTACAACATTCAGTAAAAACAACTGCTGTAGTTAAGTGTGAATTTTAAAGTCAATTAATTTAATTTTGAGTAAACTATGCAGTTAAGGAAACACATTAATTCACTTCTTTAAAGGGTTCTCAGACTTCTTCCATAGCGTGAACCACATTTTAGTAGACAGATTGTCCTCTGGAGCCCTTCCCCTTGGATTCATGATTGAACAGATCCCCTCAGCTCCCATTAGTGATTGCACAACATCCCTGTGGCCATGCCACTGCATGTATAAGTAACCCTAGGAAAGTGCTTATGTAATTTGTAACTATATTTAAAGGCAATAAATCTCTTTTGAGGGAACAACAGGGTAAGCACATTGTCTCTTTTTATTCTTGGATTCATCTTTACTTCCTGTCTGCTTCCCCCACTCCCTCCTTGGCTGCCCTCCTTCCCTTCTTTACATCTGCGGCCCAGCAATCTGATGCCTTGAACATGCTGCCTGGCCACTTCATTCTCTTCATCCAGGTGGGCACCTCCACTTTCACACCCTTTTTATGTAGCAAAGGGCCCTTAGTGGAGACAGCCAGACTTGCTCCCCCTTGTTTCCAGCTTATATCCAGACTCTTCTGATGCCTATAGAAGCAGCTGGGAGCAAGGAGGAGCAGCAGCGCATGAAGTATGATGTGCCTGCTTTCTATTAATCACCAGCAAGTGCTCCACAGACCACAGTTTGAGAACTATTGCTTACTTGCTATGCTACCCAAATTAAACCATCCCTATCAGCCAAAAAGGCAGTTCATTCAGTGTGGCACTATGCACTACCTTCATATTATGCACTGGGGAATCAGAGTTCCCCCTTGGCCCACGCAGTTAGCCAATATTTGGGGCCTTGCTGGGTTTTTTCCACTAGGAAGAGAAATTGATGATAGATTCAGCTAGTTCGTTGGTGCAAATTCTATTTATTTACAAAGAGTGTACACGAAGTCCTGCTGCCCTGAGCACAGTAGAAACAAACACCAGGAGGCAGTTTTCTTGCTCACAGACTGAAGCCAGCTTTCCAGCCAGTCCTGTGCCCAAAAGAAACTCTCTCCCCTGGCTTCCTCCCAGCGCCACACTCACCAGTGCTTTCCCAGCTTTCTGATCCTGAGTGCTTGTGACACCCACAGCTCCACTAATCAATGCCCCAGCCCCACAAGCTCCAGGGAAACCCTTCTGATTGTCCCTGAATTAGTTCTTGCTCAGGTCTTCCCAGGAGGTCGAATGCCTTGGACAGTGGTTTCTATTGTTTCAGCTATCTCTGAACAAAGGGGCATTTAATTGCTCCCTCATTTAACCTGAATGAAAAGTGACTAACATACCCATGAGCTTCAGTGAGGCCTGTGATTACTGACAGATCAAAGACATGTGTGCTGGCAGCCACCAACACTCTCCAGCATAAACAATCTTTATACTTTTGGTTGATAACCCACCAATAAGGTACTTCAAAATGTTCTGCTTTGGAGACACCGATTGGGGTAAGTGATATGTTCAAATGGTTAGGAGCAGTATTCATTTGAATCTTCCTTCTACAGAATAAAAAAGAAATGCTCCCCCAAGCAGTATTAGGTTGCCATGATAGGTGTGTTGGGTGCACCGAGGAAAATTGTTAGCATCGGTGTACATTAAAGGGTATCAGACAAGAACGAAAAATTTAATTTTTTAAAATTAAATCTGTAAGAGTTCCTCTTTGTGGATTATGCCCATAGCAGAGGCTCTTTCCCTTCCTTTACGGCCAAGGTCGGAGCTACTCCAATTCTGGGTCTGCTTCAGCAGTGGTCATTTTAATTACTGTTCCACTCCCCACTGTGTCTGTAGCACATGCAGAGCACAGTGGAGTGTCAATAAGTAGTATGGGAACAGGAATAGCCCCTCCTATCAGAGAAGACAGTATAATTCCCAAAAGTAAGTGAGGATGCGGGGTAATGAGAGGCTCCCTACTGACTGAATGTGAGTCTCAAAGGTTTGTTGATGTTTTAATTAGTTGGGAAGGAAAGGGCAAGGAGACAGAACGAGGGGGGGGGGAGGATGAAAGAGTGGCATAAGGGAGGAGGACCCTGATGGGGGAACAAGGAGTTGGGCAAAGGAAAAAAAAGGAGGGGCAAGAGAGATAGAGATAGAAAGCAAATGAGGCAAGGGAATGGAATGGGTGTGAATATAGGATGAAGAGAGAAGGCGGTTAGGAAGGAGAAACATAGTGGAAGGGAGGAAGGATTAGATGATGAGGTTTAGGGAGGAAAAAGGACAGGGACATTTTACCCTAACTTATCCTGACCCCAGAAAAGTAACTTGGTATCTCTGACTTTATACATCATATTTGTGGATTAAATTATGAAATACCACATTTTCAAAAGGGCCTCAAACTGTCCTGTATATCTGTGCCTGCAGTCTGACATGCACAACCATATGTACTAGCAAATCACCGAATTTTCTCATGCAAACACACAATGCGTGAAAATCAGGCAGGATTTGTTAATGAAAACACCATTGCGCATGTGAAAATCCTGTCATTTGTAGACTGTTTGACTGTCAAAATGACTGTTTGAGCCAATTTGCACAGACAGGTTTAGAAATCATTTTGGAAATTTGGCCCAAATAAATTATTTCTACAGGAATTAAAAGGATTATTGAGTATATGATTCTTAGAAGTTTTCTGGTAATAGAGAAAGATTGAACTACTTTGATTTGAGTTGCTTTTCCTGTAATTTGAAGTGCCAACTCTGTGTGATTCAGGTCTCCATAAAAGATGAAAGAAAGGTGTATTGGATCCATTTCAGTGTTGACGTCAGATCCAATGATGTCCATTATCCACAGACCTGAGGACTGCATGTTGATTTGAGGCAGTTGAGGACTAGAAATCAATCTTTTACCTTTAAAAAATGATCAAACGGAAAGAGGAAAGAAGACAGCATGAGAGAAAGGCATAATATATTAGGCCACAGGCTTTACAGTACACAAACACAGCTGTATTTGCAGGTTACGTTGTATCTATGGCAACAGTTCACTAAGAATAACACATCAATACTTTTATTGCATTTTTTCATCAAGAATTTAACCTTAATGTTCTTTTGTGTTTCAAACTTTAGATTTACAGAATTTTTTCTCAAAAAGAACAGGAGTACTTGTGGCACTAAGGTTCCACAAGTACTCCTGTTCTTTTTTGTGGATATAGACTAACACGGCTGCTACTCTGAAACCTGTCAGAATTCTTTCTGGATGTCAAGTTGTTTTTACTATCCTTTTTGGAATTCATTATTAAAGAATACGCACCCTCCTTCATAACCCTAATTAATTGTTTTGACAGAAGTAATCAATGTCACCTACTCACTGTCTCACTTACCTCATTTAGAAACAATGGTAGTCTGAAGCATAACAACATCTGGTATATAGCAAATAGCATCAATGAAATCAGACCTTAAATAAGAATATGTTGTATGATACTGAGAAGTGAACCTATAAAAATATGTGCTCTAAACCCACATTAGCCAGATCCTCATACAGCAATGCTAAAAACCCTCTGAATAATTACAGGTCTGCTACATTTGGACCTTTAATTTTGGAATGTGTTTAAACGATCCTATGTAAACATGCTATGTATGTTTAAATGATCCTATGTTGTGATATGATAAATAAGACAACACAGAGAAATCTACCTTTAATGAGTCTAGAAAACTACCTGGTGGGTTCTAAGTGTATGTGATATAGACACATTGCTTGTCGCTTTTCTACTTTTTTTCTCCCTTACAGATCTAACTTGGAAGGTTCATTTCCATTGGTGTATCTATCTTCTTGGCATTATTTTTATAGGATACAACACCTGATTACAGCAATCTTCTTTCCTCTTATTTTTAAATGTGATTGATTAATTTTACTTCTTGTTTGGAAGTGAGAGGCTGTCCGGAGATCATGCTGTGAGCACCTCCCAATGCCTTTCTGCCACTTGCACCTAGGTTTTGACTTGCAATCCTGCTGCAACAATGGGCTTCAGCCAAACAGAGCGACAGTTCTGCTGAACAGTGCAGTAGCTCTGTGGGAGTGGACTAATGCCCACAGATAAGGACTAAGCTGAAGCCACTAAAGAGGAGGTTACTCACCCTGTGCAGTAACTGACGTTCTTCGAGATGAGTGTCCCTGTGGGTGCTCCACTACAGGTGCTGGTGCGTCCCTGCGCCTTCGCCCGGAGA